CAAATAAGGAGACTGAAAAAGATGTCCAAGAACCTAATGTGCTAGAAAATTGTGATATAGAAGAAACCCCAAATGAAAATACTGAAAAATATGTTTCGAAAATTTTAAAAACGGAACTAGGAATTGAAAAAACAGTTGAAAAAACTGATAATTTAGATGAGAACATTATAATAGAAAAATCGAATCAAGATACCCAAAAACATATAGACAAGTCAACTGAAAACGTAAAAACAGATCTACTGGAAAAAGCCGTAGAAGCAGTTTTTTCAGAAACGACTCGAGAGGAGGTGGCATCTACTTCAAATATTTTAAAAGATCAAACTAATTCTTCTAAAATCACACAAATTAATCCTTTCGAAGCCCATTTATTTTATCCAGCCCCTCTAAATAAAGCCAAACAAGTAAACAAAAAAGAAAAGCTCCCTAGTGCTATAAGTTCCAAGTCTTGGAGAGAATATTATGAGAAAAAGTATCAGGAAAAACAGGAAAAATTGGATCAAGCAAAATTAAAGAGAGCAAAGAGAATTGCTCAGAGTACAAAAAGAGGCTGGAAAAATGAAATGAAAACAAAAAAATCATTAAAAATAAAGAAAAACATCAAAAAAAAAGAAAAAAATATCATGTGCTTCTTGTACTGAAGAACTAAATAGTGACACTGATGACGACGATACTAAAAATATAGGTTGCGTTTTTTTGTCCCGGATGGTTCCATTTTATGGGCAACTCACCTATTTCGAGGCTGCGAAGGAAAATTATAAATACGACAGTTGTTTGTAAATTTTTGTCATATTTGTTGCAAGTATTCTACATCTCAGAATTGAATTTTATTTTATATAGGTATTTTTATACTCTAGATCTTAGAATTTTTATTCGTTTTTAAAGAATGTAGGTACCTATGTTTATTTTGTACCTAATGAATTATTTGTTGTTTTTTATATACAGTTACTGAAAGTATATACCTACCTTTTTCAATATATATTTTCTTTTAATAAAAAAATGTGTCAATTTTTTCCTTAAAATCATTACACTGCCGAGAACCAGTCCCATTCTGTCTGGTAATAGGTAGTCTGCGGCCGAGCGCAGGTAAATTGCACATTGTCGAGTATTTTCTTAAATATTTATTAAACAGTGATATAAATAGATAAAAAAAACTAAAGTTCCAGCTAAAGTAAGGTCTACAGAAATACAGACTTTTTTATGAAGAAAATATTGAAAGTTTCTTTTTAATCTTAGAAAATTGTCCCAAAATAGTACTAACTGCTCGAGAACCGGTTCAGTCACCCTATCAAATATTTTAATTATTTAAAATTATTATTAAATTTTAAATGTTTATTTATTATTCATTCGTTTCAGTTTAAAAGTAAAATAAGGGATGAATCTGTTTTACTGGATGATGATTTCAACGAATTATTATTTGATATCTCCATTTAAATTGAAGATGAAGTTCAATTAATCGATTGTGATAACAAAGCCAAATTTATTGATGTTTCGGCTATAAAAGTAGAAACAGATATTGATGAAGGTTATCCATTACCAATTAAAAAAGCCAAATTTAATCAAACTAAATTAAATTTTGAAAGTTATTTTAATTCTAATATAAAAAAGCACAATTTAGATAAAAGCGCCGTCGAAAGATGGTCGTCTTTTGAACCGAATCTAAAACTTTTTGAAACTACAGAAGGTAGTATAATAACGGACTTTTCCAGAAATCAAAAATCCATATATATTACAGCATTAAAAAAGTCACCGTTTTCATTTAAACATAATAGTTTTTTAGAAGCTTCTTCTTCATTGAAGGTATTTTTGGATTCTACGACTTCGTCGGAAACGTCGTTGGGTGCCTCGAATTCGTGGCATCCGTCTGTGGTTCATCATCATCATCATCTGAATTAGGGAGTGGTTCAAAGCCCACTTTTACTGAAGCTCTAGGCTTATTGTACCCCTCACAGTTTCTATCCCATCAGATTGATTTTCTTGATGAATTCAAGAATATGTCTGATGGGCGCTTTCGCGATTTCTTCAGGTTCCGGATATTGTACCCCGAAGTACCATTCCCGTTCCCATTTAAGGTTCCGGCAGTGGCATAGTATATGAATAGGAGTTTCCGTCTGTGGTTGCTTCGACGTCGCGGCAACCGTCGGTGGTCGCTTCGACGTCGCGGAAACCATTGGCGATTCCTTCGACGTCGCTTCAACAATTTTTGGTTTCGCCTATTGCGAAGCCTAAAATATTGAATATATGGACACAATTTCAATATGATATTGGCCAAATGCCTATAGAGGTAAGAAGGAAATTCTGGGAGAGTCCGTTGAATTATAGAAACCGGTTGTATTTTGCAGCTTTTGCTTTTTTAAATTCAATAGACCCACAAACAATAGCATATGTTTTAAAATTCACCAATAACAAAGCTACAGAGCCACGAATCAAACAATATATGAATGTTTTTTATTTTCTTAGTAAATTAAAGGAGCCGATAAGCTGTAATTATTACAGTTTTCATTTAAGTGAAGGGATTGTAAAATGTCTCTGGTCATCCCAGAAATTTGTGTAAATCTGGTAAATTTAATGTAATTCGAGATTGAGTAATGTTGGCTCTTTAAAAAAAAATAATTATATTTCAGCGTTCCAATCCTCGATATCACTTACTCGTAGTCCGTCCCTGGTACGACTTTGTGCACGTATTTAAAGAATTGGCAGACTCCCCGCTTCTCTCTCCTAACCGCTGCTCCTTCCATTACCCTTCATTCGTCACTTCGTGCCGCTAGTGTGCAGTTGTATGTGTATGTGTGTGTGTGTGTGTGTGTGTGTGTGTGTGTGTGTGTGTGTGTGTGTGTGTGTGTGTGTGTGTGTGTGTGTGTGTGTGTGTGTGTGTGTGTGTGTGTGTGTGTGTGTGTGTGTGTGTGTGTGTGTGTGTGTGTGTGTGTGTGTGTGTGTGTGTGTGTGTGTGTGTGTGTGTGTGTGTGTGTGTGTGTGTGTGTGTGTGTGTGTGTGTGTGTGTGTGTGTGTGTGTGTGTGTGTGTGTGTGTGTGTGTGTGTGTGTGTGTGTGTGTGTGTGTGTGTGTGTGTGTGTGTGTGTGTGTGTGTGTGTGTGTGTGTGTGTGTGTGTGTGTGTGTGTGTGTGTGTGTGTGTGTGTGTGTGTGTGTGTGTGTGTGTGTGTGTGTGTGTGTGTGTGTGTGTGTGTGTGTGTGTGTGTGTGTGTGTGTGTGTGTGTGTGTGTGTGTGTGTGTGTGTGTGTGTGTGTGTGTGTGTGTGTGTGTGTGTGTGTGTGTGTGTGTGTGTGTGTGTGTGTGTGTGTGTGTGTGTGTGTGTGTGTGTGTGTGTGTGTGTGTGTGTGTGTGTGTGTGTGTGTGTGTGTGTGTGTGTGTGTGTGTGTGTGTGTGTGTGTGTGTGTGTGTGTGTGTGTGTGTGTGTGTGTGTGTGTGTGTGTGTGTGTGTGTGTGTGTGTGTGTGTGTGTGTGTGTGTGTGTGTGTGTGTGTGTGTGTGTGTGTGTGTGTGTGTGTGTGTGTGTGTGTGTGTGTGTGTGTGTGTGTGTGTGTGTGTGTGTGTGTGTGTGTGTGTGTGTGTGTGTGTGTGTGTGTGTGTGTGTGTGTGTGTGTGTGTGTGTGTGTGTGTGTGTGTGTGTGTGTGTGTGTGTGTGTGTGTGTGTGTGTGTGTGTGTGTGTGTGTGTGTGTGTGTGTGTGTGTGTGTGTGTGTGTGTGTGTGTGTGTGTGTGTGTGTGTGTGTGTGTGTGTGTGTGTGTGTGTGTGTGTGTGTGTGTGTGTGTGTGTGTGTGTGTGTGTGTGTGTGTGTGTGTGTGTGTGTGTGTGTGTGTGTGTGTGTGTGTGTGTGTGTGTGTGTGTGTGTGTGTGTGTGTGTGTGTGTGTGTGTGTGTGTGTGTGTGTGTGTGTGTGTGTGTGTGTGTGTGTGTGTGTGTGTGTGTGTGTGTGTGTGTGTGTGTGTGTGTGTGTGTGTGTGTGTGTGTGTGTGTGTGTGTGTGTGTGTGTGTGTGTGTGTGTGTGTGTGTGTGTGTGTGTGTGTGTGTGTGTGTGTGTGTGTGTGTGTGTGTGTGTGTGTGTGTGTGTGTGTGTGTGTGTGTGTGTGTGTGTGTGTGTGTGTGTGTGTGTGTGTGTGTGTGTGTGTGTGTGTGTGTGTGTGTGTGTGTGTGTGTGTGTGTGTGTGTGTGTGTGTGTGTGTGTGTGTGTGTGTGTGTGTGTGTGTGTGTGTGTGTGTGTGTGTGTGTGTGTGTGTGTGTGTGTGTGTGTGTGTGTGTGTGTGTGTGTGTGTGTGTGTGTGTGTGTGTGTGTGTGTGTGTGTGTGTGTGTGTGTGTGTAAGTGTGTAAGAAAATACTTACGTAAGTTTACATTTTAATAATTTATGCCTTTATTTTCGCTTTATAGAATATAGGCATGGCAGACTCCAGTGATGAGAACGGTGATTCGAAAGAAATACTTCTAGAAAGATTAAAAAAGCTTAAGAAACATATGCGTAAATTCAAAAAGCGAAAAAGGAGACGCTCAACGAGCACGAGCCGTTCAAGCAGTCGCGAGATCGAGAAATCGGAAAGGCAGTTTATACGGCGGCTCGGTGTCTCCAACGGAACACCGAGATCGCACATTAAAAAATGACCGGGCAAGTCGGAATCAAAGCCTGGACTGCTATTTTTGAATATCATTCGACAATTCTCGTATGCGAGAAATGTGGACATAGAATGTATACGAAATCGAAGCGCTACTTTTGAACATCCTTCGACATGACATGTTGAAAGTGTCGAATGATGATATGGCAACAACGTTATTCCATTTTTGCCAACGCACTTTTTTTTAGTAAATATCACATTTCTCTACTTCGTGTCAATGTCAAGGATAACTTGGTCTTGTCTTTTCTTGTGCCCACGTTTTGTTATGATTTTTTCTTATTTTTGATTAACTTGAACATACTTTAAGATGAATATAAAAAAGTTTACACTACAAGCGAATAACGGGAGACCCTTATAGAGTTTATGGGGAAACATAAAAAAATGCAAATAGGTAAATTCTCAAACGATTTTACTTTTGTGGACGCCAAAAAATTATGGGAGAAAATATCCACCAATTTAAACGCCATGCCAAGTGCCACGAAAAACTGGAATTCTTGGCGCAAGGTAGGATCTACTTGTAAGTACTAAAAATAAAAGCATTTTATAATTTAATATACATATAAAAACAAAGAAGCAAATCTTTTAAAGAACTTCACCATAACAGGTGGTGGACCCACATCTGATGAGAAAGTTACCAAAGAAGATGATATGGTGTTAGGATTGATTTACCCAACATCTATAGGACATTCCAACGTTGAGAAATCTGTAGTCTATTTCGATGGCACTTTTACCTATGACGATGAGAATGAGACAATACAAATCGATTATGAATATGCCGATGTGATAAGAAATGAGAATGTCGGGCAAGATGTAGATATGTCAGCTAGCACATCAAATAAAACTAGAGAGGAGCACCCTAGCATAGAAGAAAAACACAAGAAAAAAATTAAACCTTCAAAAAGTGACAGGCTTTCTAGAACGGCCATGGCTACAGAAACCTTGGCCGAGCAAAATAACTTTTTGGAAATAAAAAAGTGGTATTATGGGAAAAAAAATATCATTAAAAGAAACGGAAGTATATGAGAAATGGAATATTGCAGACGGATTAGAAAAAATTGCCAATAAATTGTAGTTAAGGTTTATTTTGTTTTGCAGTGTTATTTTTACGATTAATTTTAGTTATTTTTTTTGTTTGATTTATTTTTTTGTTTTGTTGTTTAGCTTAAAATAATTTTTTTATTTTTATTTACCGTTAATTTTATTTATTTTTTTGTTTTGTTGTTTAGCTTTTTTTTTTTTTCGTTAATTTTAGTTATTTTTGTTTGTTAAGAGTTTAATTTAGTTTTCTTTTGGTTCTGTTTAGCTTAAAATATTTTTATTTACCGTTAATTTTAGTTATTTTTTACTTAAGTAGGTACTGTTTATATTTTAAATAAAACTTATAGTATTTTGAAATTTATATTCAAATGTAAAAACTAAATAGATGCTACAAAAATACCACTATTTATTTAAAATGAATACATATAGAATACCTTTAATTTTTTTGCTACAAATAAAATTTAAAACTATTAAACGAGAGAAAGAGAGAATGTTTTTATTGGAATAACCAAATGGCCATCGACCGGAGTCCTTCAGCCTATACTACATCTTGTTTTACATGTACATATTATTTTATATAGCTAAAACTAGTTACAAACATTATTTTAAAAAAAAGCGCGGTTTCTGTATTTTTCAAGAAAGATCCAGTTAAGGTTGGTTCCTTCTTGCAAGGCAGCATTTGTTATGTTTGTATTTTGGGCGAACCAATGTTTCTTGGATCTCTTTTGCATATTATTTTGTTCGAACTTTGGATCCTAAGTGAATGTTGATTGCTACAAGTGTTTAAGTAGTGCTGGTTATTTATTTAAAAATGTTTAGCAACAGAACACTACTAATAATGGAAAAAGTTACAACAGAAGGAGTCATGATAATTTCGCCAGAAGTCCCAGGCACTTCGGTAAGTTCAATTGGAAAATCTGTTTTTTTTTTTTTGTTATACTTTACCGTTGAAATCATAACCTCACAATTAATGTTCTTGTAAAAATTGTTGTTTTCTTATTTTAGTAGCGAATACTGTTTACAGTGCTAATTCTAGATTATGTTGTAATAATCAGAGATTTCAAAGAAATAACTTTTAAGAAAAAAGGGACACCCAGTATAGTTAAAATTCGTTTTATCAGATATATTTCAAAACAATTTTTATGTAAGGTAGTAAGACGTGGTTTTACAGGCATGTGCAAAAATGCTAAGTCAGGAGTTTAATGAAATACAATGTATTTCTCAATGTTAGAACGGAAGTTGGTATCATATTTGTTTATATAGAGACGCGATTATATTTTATAACCTACATACAAGGCATCTTGCTGACACAGAAAAAATCGGGAACCATCTTTGAGCTTTGTGTCAAAGGGGGCGTGGAAATACACGTATGACCATTATGACTGGACATAAAAAATTATAAACATTAATTGAAATGCCTCTTTTGTAAAGCGGCCATAATTAAAAAGGCGTACCAAAATATTTCCCAACGGAAAAAATTGTAACGAGGGCAGTCGGGGTTAGCTCATCACGGGGGAACGACTCAAAACAGGTCTCACGGGGTCATATAATTAATTTTAGTTTTTTGTTTTTTTTTTAAGAAATTTCGCGGCGCGAACGGTGACTGTGTAGTTTTATACCGATTAATCAATAGTGTTCACCGACCAGGCGAATCAGGGGACGATCACCAGGTGTGATTAGCCGTCAACCCTCAAGATAATAGGGGTAAGTCCAATGAGACAGTAATTAATCTTGTTACTTGAAGTTATATGGTATTAACTTGTAGCCTGATATATTTGGATAAGATATTATAATGCTTTCTCCTTTTTATAATTTATAAATAACAAACGGGAATTAAGTAGCCTCTAAAATTTGTGACAGGGGCAAAACTAGTTCATTACTGTATGTGTTTTTTTTTAGTACCTATTTGTATCGAGTCCTTAACTCTTAATTAGGCTGTCATACATTTAATTTTATGAAGGATTAAACAAGTTGCTATTTAGGCAATCATTGTAACGTAAACTTGCTAAAAATTAGTGCCATTGTCATAAATTTTATTTCAAATGTTACTAGGAATTTTATCTTGATTTTTCAATTTTTTCTTGTTCTGTATGTTGATTTTCATTACATTTTTGAAAGTGTCAAAACTCATTAAACCTTTTTTTTATTATCATTATATTTGTTTACTTTACTAACGGATTTTAATTAACCCCTCCCACACACCCCAGTGAAAGTTATGATACGAAAGCTTAAATATTCTCTGAGGATTAGGAATATCAACTAAAAAAAAAGTTCACGCATATTTAGCCGTGACGAATCACGCCTTAGTAGGATATTTAATTTTTGGTAGAAAACCATAGTGCCTTTGACCGCTCAACAGACTTGATAGACATCTAAGTTAGACCTATAAGTAAGTACCCTTTCAGATTATGTAATTTCTCTTTGAAATCAATACAGTGTTAAAGTCTAGTTTCAATAAGTCAGTCTACAAGTAATAATTTTAAGAAAAATAATAAATACCCACAGTTTTATTGTAGAAAAAATGCGGGTATTACAGTGGTGACAGGACCTTTTTATTTAGTTGATTTTTTTTCTCTTTCTCGGAAATATACAGGGTAAACTTAATAAGAATAGAAAAAGTCCAGACCCTAAAATTGCAGGTTAATTGAATTAAATATCAGTAATGACAAATATTAAAATGGGTACATGAATTAGGAGAGTTCCAAATATACAAAAAGTGAAAAAAAAAAACAAATATATTGTATCTACCTAGTAGAAAAAAAAATATATTTATATAATTCCAATATTGTTCAGGTTCACGCAAGTCGGTTACATACCAAGCAGCAAAGGCCGCATTCAAAAACGCTTTCCTCTCCTGAAATTCTATCCCAATCCTTCTTTTGGGTTAGTAAAAAAATAGTTTCCGACGGCAAAACGTCAAATTCGAGACGGTCGTAATAAACAACACTAAATATTTTTTAAAGGTTAAAAAAAGTATTAGAAGATTTCCTCTTCTTTGCTTACCCTTCTCTAACAATTTTTTTATTTTTGATGTACTGGGTTTTGGTTTTGGTAAACCTGACGTGGTATCACTGATAACAAAATCAGTCGACTCCGAAGTAATATCTTCATCAGGATCACTTCCTCTTTGTATTGCCAAAGTTCTCCATTAATTCCTTTTTTGATTTTATTTTAATAGAAATTTCATTGGCAGATACTGAAGTATCTAATGCCACTGCCATGTTCATAAACTTTAATAGATTTAATTTATACTCTTGATCTTCCTCTGTTTCTTTAACAAGATCATTGTCGATTTCTGAGTTGGTTGTAAAAACCACCCCATCTTCCATCAAATCTTTTAAACGTATGGGCTCTTTGACTGACATTATGCTGTGAAGTAACTTGTTATTTATTTCACAGAGAAATTTGATTTTTATCTTCGTCTGTGCATAAAAGATCTCCAAATACCCCTCATACTTTCTTTTAGCATCCTATCTTCTACGGGATTTTGTTAGAAGGACGGAAAAATTCCCTTCTACCCGTAGAAGTAGCGAACGGCGGAAAACGTTTACTTTTTTATTTTTTACGGTGGATTATTTAATCGTACCTCGCCTCACTTGGCACTAATTTATCCTACTTAATACTATCCTGTGCTTCTTTCATAAAAACGTACTCCAACGGGTTTAACCCACTCAAATTCGGTATCCTAGCTCCTACACAAAACATATCGGTCGTTGGAAATAAATCCTACCCCTAGCCACTAGAAAAAAAAAACATACCGAATGAATTAACCATTAGTTGCACTTAAAATTTAAAGCAATTTGATATATTTGATCAAAAGTACAGTTGGTTTCTTATTGCAAATTTTATGTGCTCAAAAGTGAAGGTTGTTCATTATTGCAATATTACCTTTTTACAGGGTTTACAGATTGTTGGGAATATAAGCCCACAAATTTCTACTAAAAGCACTGGTGAACTGGAGACCGAAGCCAACACAGTAAGTGTATGTTTTTTAACTAGAATATAGTAAGTTATGTGCAGTAGCGCCCCCCATTTTTTACTTGATGAATGTATGGATACTAAATACTGCAATTTATTAGAAGGGGGTTTTTGTTCTGTCAGTTTGCTAATAATTCAATATCAGTAAAGGTATACTTAGGACTGTTAACTCTTAGTTTTTTTATGTTTTTACAGGGCTTAGAAGAGTGCGTTCCAAATACTAGTACAGATAATGAACACCGAAGTTCCGAATTACAGGAACCTTTTGAAAACTTTAACGATACTGAAAAGTTAAATCACAATATTGAAGTTAATGCTACTGAATGCTTTGAAGAATCCGACGATAATTCTATCAAGGATAAGGATTATGAGCCAAACTCTTCTGATGAATCCTCTGAGAATAATTAACAAAAAGTGTCATCAGTAGAAAATACAGAGGAAAAAACAAACCACAGCATCGCTGCAGTCGCAGAATATAAGGGACGCCCAAAAAAAGGAAGGAAAAGAAAGTATGAGGGACAAGACAGGGCGCGAGAAAGAGACTCACAAACAGCAATAAAGAATATTATTCAGCTAGAGGATAACTCGTTCAGTCAAAACAATTTATTGATTACAAATGCTCCTGTGCCACGAAATGCGACCAGAAGGTATCTGTTGATGAGAGAAAGTATTTTTTTCGACCACTATTGGAACTTGAAGGACTATAACGTTTAAACAACCTACTTATCGACATGCGTTAGGGAAGAAAGTGTAAAAAGAAAAAGTACGGCTGCCAGAAATCCAGAAAAGCGACAGTTTTCCAGACACTACTTTATTAAAAAGCATCTGGTTTGTAGGGATATAATTGTTAAAACGCTACAGATATCAACTAAACGTGTTAACACATCACTCTGTACGGTTAGACACTAGATCGCCGAGGTATTGGTGGTGGTCACAATTATATTACGGATGAGCAAAGAAGCGCGATTATCAATCATATTAATAAATTTACCCGTTATAAATCTCACTACTGTAGAGCAAGGAAAGACAAAGAGGAATACTTAGCAGAAGGAACAACACTTACGATTATGTATAAACTTTACAAAGATGAAAATGTAAATACAGTCATCTTCTCCTCCTATAAGAAATTTTTTTTAAATGACTTCAATTTTAAAATGAAGCAACCTAAGAAAGACACCTGTAACAAGTGTGATACTTTCGCTATAAAGATTAAAAACTTACCAGAAGGATCATTCTCTACAGTCGGTAAGACAATTTTTCCTATACACTTTTTAACGCTCGACTCGTTGTGGGGACAGGAGCGGGACAGAATACGAAATCAAAATAGCGAAATTCGAAGAAGTATATATTGTTTGTTTACAACCAGCTTTGTGACTGTGAACATGTCGAATAATTTTGGTCAAAAATAAGTACGGTCCGAGCTACGATATTTCAAAATAGCTTCTTTAATCTCAAAGACTTCTCACAGTACTCATGCACTTTCACATGAAGAAAATCGAAGTAAAGTGTGATTCTTATGCTTAAAGAAGAATGACGTGATGTTCAAAGTGGCCAGTTCGTTGAGATCACATTTGGAAACATTACTCCAGTTTAATCTCGCCAATTTGCTCAGTGATGAAAGATTGCCGAAAGTTGTCTGCACGGCTTGCAAGAGAAATATATCTCGGAACAAATCGGAGAGAGACTGCGGAAGGACCAATCTTCAAACTGTTGCATTACCAGATTTTTCAAAGTTTCAGAAGCCAATTTTAAGTACAAGATCTCAGACTGGGAAACGCTGTGAGTGTTCTTTGTGTGAGCTTGCGAGATGGAACGTCACGAAGCCACTTTTGACTGGCAAAAAAGCATCTGCTCCAAAATGTGTGAAACGTTGTTCCAAATGCTTCATGGTACCGAAACGTGGCACTGCTCATAAATGTACTAAAGCGGCTACAATAACAAATCTCCATAGCTATGTTGACAACTCATTAGGACAAAAATTAAAGGAGCAGCTCACGGTAACACTGATTAACGATATTTCTAATAAGCAGGCTGGTGAAGAAAAAAGACAAGATCAACCGATCTCACTGACACAACCCGCTGGAGGGAAAGCTATGAAAATTATTGTGAACCCGTCCTGCAATGCAGCTGCCTCCACATCAACTACTCCTTAAATTAAATTAAAACGCAATTCAATCTAAGTTCAAAAACGACCCTTGGTATAGCCAGTGCCCTAAGAGTTGCTAGTAAGAAGCGCGCAATCATTGAGCCAGGCTTAAAAAACTCTTGAACAAAAAAATCTGGAGCTGGAGGAATTTTTTTCAACTAAAAAACTTGATTTTCTTACAACGAGGTCAAAAATTAGTACACTTGTTACCAACCTCTTAGTGTACTGTAATAATCTTGAAAATTTAATTGAATATATTGAGACACAGCGAGAAATCGGCAATCACCATTTGAAATTTGGGATAGATGGTGGAGGCGGATTCCTAAAAGTCTGTCTATCTATACAAGCTCTTCAAGATGGAAATGATCAAAAAGAACTGAAACATCAGAAATATAATGATAGTGTGTGTGTGTACAGACTTTCAAAGAAACAGGAGTCAAGAAATTGTTTATCCTCGGCATTGCGAAATCTGCACAAGAAAACTATGACAATATCTCAGAGATCTGGAAAATCTTGAATATAAATAATTTTTCCTGTACAATAGCGACTGATCTTAAATTAGCTAATATTTTGTTAGGTATTATGTCCCATTCATCTTCATATCCTTGTACATGGTGTTTCTCTGAGAATAATAATTTGGAAAACGTCGGGTTGCGTCGCACAATAGGAAACTGTATTAATTATTTTGAAGCTTGGAGAAATGCGGGATCAATTATGAAAAATGCGAAAAACTACAAAATTTGTGTAAATCTTCCTGTTTTTACCGGCGATGAAAATACTAGAGTTCTTGAAATTATTCCCCCTCCAGAACTTCATTTGATGCTCAGTGTAGTAATTAAGATAGTACACCATATGCAGGGTGAATTTCAACAAGAAACACATGAGTGGACTAAACTCTGTAATGTACAACGCGAAATAACTCACAGAGGCGCGGGATTCAAAGGAAACTCTTGCAAAATATTGTTGAATAAAGTCGATTCTCTTCGGGCTATTTGTACCGTGGGCTGTTTAAAATATGTAGAGACTCTTAAGGACTTTCACAGGGTCGTTAACGACTGTTTCATAATTTAATTGAACCCTTCTTACAGAGAATCGATTAGGAAATTTAAATCGAGCTATTTAGCTTTGAGTATATCAGTCACACCAAAGGTACATGCGGTATTTTATCACATCGAAGATTTCTGTGAAAATTCTAAAAGAGGTCTTGGATTTTATAGCGAACAAGCTATGGAATCCGTACATTCCGATTTCAAAACCACATGGAATAAATATAAGGTTTCTGAGAGCCACTCTGATTATAATTCGAGGTTGTTGAAAGCTATTATTGAATATAATAGTAATCATGTATAATATATAAAGGTTTTGCTTTCATGGTAATCCAATTGGTGAATAAAGAATATTTTTCATAATAACGATTATTATAACAGAATTTCATTAACAAAAACCCTAAGAAAAGAATGCGAGCTCCCGCTATATGGTCGGAGAGTTGCGTTAAAAGAGTGCATGAAAAAAACTGTCTTACCGACTGTAGGGAATGAATTGAATTTATAACGAGATACACGCACATATGGATCTATAAAAATACGCGAGCATAGATACCCACACACACACACGCGCGCGCGCCGTGCAAACAAATCACTCCGGCACCCGTGCTGTGGGGCGCGCTCCCTTGTTGGGATCGTTCTGTGCTTTTATGTGTGTGTGTGCGTATGTTTTGCCGTAGTTGTGGGATAATCGCCTGAATAAAACCAGGACTGTGGGGACAGTAAAAGTTGTGGGGACATTTAAAGTTGTGAGGACATACACACTTGTCCCCATAACTTATTTTGGCTTCATCTTCGTTGTTTGTTTTCATTTTATGATCATTACTACATAAAAATCTCGCAAAAAAATTTGTTCGCGGCACATCTAATTTTAACTAATCTAGAGTTATTACTTTTACCAAAATTGTTAAATAAGTTACTGTCCCCACAACTAGGTAAAATATCAGGTGTGTATATTTTTCGACTTCGGAATTGAAGTGGGCACTAATTGTTGTACTAGAAAGTGGCGCCCCCTACAAAAAATAAATATATTTCAATAAATATTGGTTTCATAAATTTGTGTGTAAGCGGATCCCAATACGCATACAGTTATGGGGACACAATAACTAATGTAGTATTCAGTACCTTTTGGGGCAGGTGACATATGCGAATGATATTTTTTATAATTTACTCTTGGTGCGGCAGCATTTTCTGATATTGTTTTAAGTAATTTTTGTTAGTTCAGTTAATACATACAAAGACACCGGGTTGTTCTAATATAAAAAAATAAGAACCAAGATATATAAGGTGTCCAGCGACGAGGGGCACTCTGTATATCTAAAAACTAATGGACAGATTTTCTAAAAATTAGTAAGAGTATTAAACATTTAAAACATTTTGTCATTTTCGCTTTTACCGAAAGTAGGTGTCAACTTTTTAATTTTAAGTGGGACACGCCTTTCTTTTATAACGGATTCCTATAGAACATAAATACTTTGTATGATAAAGTATATCGTTAAAATTGGTAATTTATAAAATACAAAATATTTTTGAAAATAAAATATATATTAAAATAATATTTATTTTTAAATAAAATTAATTAAAATTTGAAAGTTTTTTTAATTAAATTATGATGAAGAACTATGAAGGTATTAATTAACTATTACATGATATTACAAGATCTTTTATTATACGGACTGAGAAAAAACGTTTGAATTTTCATTTATAGTCGAATTAACTCGCCTCGTGAGTAATATATCTGTCAGATCAGGAAATTTTAGGTGTGGGTGCCTATATTATTATTTAAGGGGTACATAAAAATCATCATTTAAAAAAATATTTTTTTGAATATGTATTTATTGAGTATTATTTCGGTATGTAGGTATTTTACAAAATGTGGTACTCGCCTGAAACAAGCACCCCGGCAGTTAAATTACAAATATTTAAGTTTAAAATAGTAATTAAAAAAAAATACAAACTAATACGCCCTAATTTACCCAATTGTGCGCTTATCAGAGTCTTAAAAAGGATTAAAATATGGGTATGCCATGCAACAGTGCTCCAGGCAAAACTAATAGCCATACAACACTGTGCAAGAGAAATACTAAATAAGTAAGTAGCAGGCAAAACTATTGCCATATACTCTGATAGCCAAGCAGCTCTAAAGGCAATTCTCTCACTAGAAATCAAATCACGACTGGTGAAAGACTGTCTAGATGACTTGGCTTAGCTAAATAGTCTAAACAAGGTGACCCTAGCCTGAGTGCTAGGCCATAAGGGATATCAGGACAATGAAAAGGCCGACGAATTAGCCCGAGAAGGCTTATATAAGACTATGACAGTCCCCAAACCCTTCTGTGGAGTTGCAAGGCTTTGTGCAAGGCATCCTTCAAACAATGGATGCAAAAAAAGTATCAGGAATGGAACAACTATACAAGACTGATACATGCCAAACAGATCTTTAAGGAACCATTGGCTAAGTTTACGAAAGACCTACTGGATCAAAAGCGTCAAATCGTTAGAATAACAGTAGGTTTTCTTAACGGACACTGTTGCCTTAAAAGGTATATAAGTGTCATCAATCCAGCAGAAGAAGCAACTTTGTGCAGGTTCTGTGAAGAAGAAGAGGATACATCATTCCACGTCCTGTGCTAATGTAAAGGCCTAGGTGGAATGAGGTTTCTAATATTGGTTAAAGAAAAGCCAAATGCATGCAACTACATGCGATAGCCACTGTCAAAGCTACTAAGTCTAAGACCAAGCTAGACGACATACTCTACAGCAAACAAAGTTCCACAATATTTTAATTTATTTTAATTTGTTTTAATTTATTTTAATTTATTTTAATTTATTTTAATTTATTTTAATTTATTTTAATTTGTTTTAATTTATTTTAATTTATTTCAATTTATTTTAATTTATTTTAATTTATTTTAATTTATTTTAATTTATTTTAATTTATTTTAATTTATTTTAATTTATTTTAATTTATTTTAATTTATTTTAATTTATTTTAATTTATTTTAATTTATTTTAATTTATTTTAATTTATTTTAATTTATTTTAATTTATTTTAATTTATTTTAATTTATTTTAATTTATTTTAATTTATTTTAATTTATTTTAATTTATTTTAATTTATTTTAATTTATTTTAATTTATTTTAATTTATTTTAATTTATTTTAATTTATTTTAATTTATTTTAATTTATTTTAATTTATTTTAATTTATTTTAATTTATTTTAATTTATTTTAATTTATTTTAATTTATTTTAATTTATTTTAATTTATTTTAATTTATTTTAATTTATTTTAATTTATTTTAATTTATTTTAATTTATTTTAATTTATTTTAATTTATTTTAATTTATTTTAATTTATTTTAATTTATTTTAATTTATTTTAATTTATTTTAATTTATTTTAATTTATTTTAATTTAAATTTATTTTAGTTTATTTTAATTTATTTTAATTTATTTTAATTTATTTTAATTTATTTTAATTTATTTTAATTTATTTTAATTTATTTTAATTTATTTTAATTTATTTTAATTTATTTTAATTTATTTTAATTTATTTTAATTTATTTTAATTTATTTTAATTTATTTTAATTTATTTTAATTTATTTTAATTTATTTTAATTTATTTTAATTTATTTTAATTTATTTTAATTTATTTTAATTTATTTTAATTTATTTTAATTTATTTTAATTTATTTTAATTTATTTTAATTTATTTTAATTTATTTTAATTTATTTTAATTTATTTTAATTTATTTTAATTTATTTTAATTTATTTTAATTTATTTTAATTTATTTTAATTTATTTTAATTTATTTTAATTTATTTTAATTTATTTTAATTTATTTTAATTTATTTTAATTTATTTTAATTTATTTTAATTTATTTTAATTTATTTTAATTTATTTTAATTTATTTTAATTTATTTTAATTTATTTTAATTTATTTTAATTTATTTTAATT